GTAGAAAGTACATCATCAGAATGATCAGACGCCATTTTTATTAAATTTGAACGACCGTTTTGATGATTTGTTTTTTACCGGGCAAGTACGACCGGAAAGAGCACATCAGCCAATCACAGTTACTTAATGAAAATACACCATAACTGTAATTAAATCAATTGTGGCTGACCAATCATATAGCACTGATATTACGTAAATGCAAACAACCAATCGTATTCACTTAACGCTAATTACAACCAACCTCTGAATTGCAGTTAACTTGAAATGCATTACAGTTAACTGGAAATGATTTGCAGTTAACTTGAAATGCATTCAAGTTAACTGCAAATGTTTTCGAATTAAGCCGAAATAGACATAATTGAAATATATTTGCAGTTAACTTTAAAACAATTACACTTAACTCAAAAACAAAATTTTAATTGCAGTTAACTGCAATTGAATTCGAGTTAACTGTAATTGAATTAGAGTTAACTGTAATGCATTACACTTAACTATAATGAATTGCAGTTAAGTCGAATGTATTACAGTTAACTGTAATTGAATTACAGTTAACTGTAATGCATTCGACTTAACTGCAATTCAGAGGTAAATGATAAAACGGCTTGCCATAAGGACGCACATCTCCGCTCTCGAACATAGCGCGTACAGGCCTTTGATCTTTACTGTGGCATCGACAATCCGATACTAGTTGCGAGTACAGCCTTCAATTATTAGTCTATGCGTGCCATTCGTTTTATGGTGTTGGTTTTTATTTTATTAATTATTGGTACTTCGCAATGTCTGTTACATCTGATTTGTTTTGACCGCGAGCTTGTTAAATGCTTCTATAAAGTGCAATTTGATTTGTGAAAATTGACCAAGAAAATGAAAAGTTATAGCAATTTAAAATTTACGAATTTTATAAAATTTCATGTTCTTATGTAACATTAATCTGTCATTTTAATAATGTTGGCATAAGGTGCCGAAAAAGAACATTGAGTATATACAGAACATTTATTAATTTTTTCTGCGAAGTGAGTCTCATGAACGACAATTCACCACAATTTTGGTAAAATTAATGTTGAAATGAAGAATATATTTTCAGTCTAATGTTAGTGAAAAATATCATTAGGCTTTTATAATCACCGCTCTACGCGCGATTATCATGGCATCTAACACGCGCGTGGGTGATTCGTCACTTACGCTGACGGTTTATGGTCTGGTGCTATGGTTTTTGTGACGTTCAGCGTGTAGGGACGCACGTGCGCCTAGAATCCATGGCGTAACTAGCGAGATGTCCAGACTGTGCGATTAACGAACGCTAGCGTAAGTATTCGCGCGAAATATTCGTATTTGTAATTTGCACACTATATTTCCTGTTGACATCTAGGCTTATTTTCATTGGTCTAATTCTGGCCGAGTTCAAAAGCACTGATGCGTGACTGTCGTAAATCAGTGGCGCACGCTAATCTGGGGTCTGTTGCTGGATTACCGTACGCCAGTGATTGCGCGGTAATACTGGCGTTCGCTACGACGCGCACAAGTTCACACGACTTGATCTACGTTACGCTAGCGTATTAGTCGTTGTGTCTGAACGTAGCCTTAGGCTACGTTCAGACCTGTGAGATACGCCAGGCGTATCTAACGCCGGGCGTACGTTAATCCATGGCGTAACTAGCGAGATGTCCAGACTGGGCGATTAATGAACGCTAGCGTAAGTATTCGCGCGAAATATTCGTATTCGTAATTCGCGCATTTTATTTTTTGTTTACATCTAGGTTTATTTTGATTGGTCAAATCTTGGCTGAGTTCAAAATCACCGATGCGTGACTGTCGTAAATCAGTGGCGTACGCTAATCTGGGGTGGGTCTGTTGCTGGATTACAAGTTCACACCACTCAATTAACGTTACGCTAGCGTAAGTCGTGTCTGAACATAGCCTATGGCTACGTTCTGACCTGAGAGATACGCCAGGCGTATCTAACGCCGGGCGTATGTTAATCCATGGCGTAACTAGCGAGATGTCAAGACTGAGCGATTAATGGACATCAGCGTAGGTATTCGCGCGAAATATTCTTATTCGTAATTCGCGCATTTTATTTTTTTGTTTACATCTAGATTTATTTTTATTGGTCAAATATTGGCCAGTGATTGCGCGATAATACTGGCGTTCGCTACGCCGCGCATAAGTTCACACCACTCGATTAACGTTACGCTAGCTTATGTCGTTGTGTCTGAACATAGCCTTATAACCTTTGGCTACGTTCAGACCTGAGGGATACGCCAGGCCTATCTAACACCGGGCGTACTTTAGACCATGGTGTAACTAGCGAGATGTCCAGACTGGGCGATTAATGAAATTCTATTTTCTGTGTACATCTAGATTTATTTTCATTGGTCAAATCTTGGCTGAGTTCAAAATCACCGATACGTGACTGTGGTAAATCAGTGGCGTACGCTAATCTAGGGTCTGTTGCTGGATTACCATACGCCAGTGATTGCGCGATATTATTGGCGTTCGCTACGCCGCGCCCAAGCTCACACCACTCGATTAAAAGAGAACTAGCAAAATGACTTTTTGTTCTAGAGGAGATTTTTGATATGCCATTAATAATAGAATCAACCTTAAAATCGTTTTTTTGGCAATTGTTTATGAAGTTATAGGCCATTATATACGATTTTACCGTGACGTCACTGGCGAAAAAAAGTTACAAAAGATCGTGTAAATAGCGCCGCGTAGGGTATCTGCCGCGTACGATCTTTGCGTGCATGCTGTAACCATGGTTGTTGTAACTTGTATATCAAGCAAAGATAACTGCGGCTATGTTCTCACACGGCAGCTAACGGTTAGCAGGATCTGGATCGTGCTAACCGTTAGCTGCCGTGCATCCATGCGAGAAAATCCCAATCCGGATACCAACAATATGATGATCGAATCACTGGCCAATAAGAAACTGGAAATTGTAAACGCGTACGTGTAATTGGTTGATGATAGAAACTCCCTCAACTTGCTAACCGATAGCGCTTGCTAACCGGTAAGCGTTATATGGGCACCATTTCCGTCAGGTCATGAATAATTAATGTCGATGGCATATTTAAATATTCATACGAGACCGCTACACATATCACATACCAAAACAAAGGCGATGCGGTGTGTGAGTAAGACCGATCAAAGTTAAGTTTGGAAAACAGAAACATCGGATTCAGAAACATTTAGGGCAGGCCAAAATATTATTATATAGGGCTAATTTTGCTAGCCTAGGTAGAGACAAAGCCTAGGGCCTAGCCAGTTCTTAATCTAGCCTACCGTACTCGAGTCTAGCTAGTCCTTCCTAGGGCGGTCCTACGTGACATGTGTTGGCCTGAATTAGCCTAGGTCTAGTCTAGGAGGCTAGCTAGGTGCAGCAAGGCCTGCGGCTGTCTTATGCAGCCTGCGAATGTCACAAAATACAGCAGTTTACAGGCACCTCCCTATATACAGAGCCAGCCTAGATACACTCCTAAGGCCCAAAAAAATTTTTTTTTACTTTTGTTGGCGACGTTTTGGAAATATCGGTAGGAAAAATGACCTAGGCCCCTTGGACCCCTAGGCAAGTCCAGCCTTATTATTAGCTCTTGAAAACAAACACTGATACTATGATGCATTGATAAAGCTGACTGCCTTATCACACAATGTAGTATGGTACAAAAAATATTATATATATTTGGCTATACCTTAAATATGTATTTATTTGTCTGTTATAATACATGTATAAATTGTATGTAATGGTGTACATAAATTGATCATTGTAGTGTGGTATAGGAAGTTGTTCAATGTTATAGTGGCTCTATAACAACTCCCCAGGTAATGCTAAAATATTGGATTATACCTTACAGCTATTGTCAACTTTTTAATGTTGGAAACCAAACTCAGATAAAGTGACATGTTGACAACAAATCAAACTGTACATAGACACTTTATTCATTCACAAAACCTTGACAGTGTTGCACAAGTTAGCTCATTATCATTGATCACAGACCAGCTATACTGTAAATACTCATGTTGCCCATACATACTACCTCATTTCCAGTATCTTCACTTTAACATAGTAAATTCCATAGTGGCTAGCCTATTATAATCATTGATTAATTATTAAATATACTGGTTACTAACTTAGTATTGCCCATATTAAATCAAAATGATAAAACAATTAGGAATTATACTGAAGTAGCAACCATGTTAGCTTAAGAATTAACAAAGCACATTAATGTTGTGCCAGACTTATTTAGGTGGTGCCAATGTTAAACTCAAATTTATTGGTAACTGTACACACACTGAAGTGGTATCCGTAGGATAATATTACCAGCATACTATTAAAAGTGGTGCCCATATTCATAAGTTATTAATTAGTCATACCCATGGTGTGCTCAACTTACCTTAATTTAATTCACTGAATTGTCAATGTTATCTCATGTTTATTGATTTCTACTAAATATACCAAACTTGGCAGCCAACACACAAAAGTGAGGCCATCTTAGCATATAAACATAAATTAACAAATTAATCATTCTAAAGTGCTAAAATTATTAAAGTTATGCCCAAGAGATCTCATATAATCAATTTGCAACATAAATTCCCATGTTAAGTCACATTCATTGATTACTACTACTAAAATACTGAAGCGGTGTTCAACATACTAAAGTAGTGCTCAAGTTATATATAATCAATTATTATCAATACAACTTAGTAATTAGTGCCAAAGTTTGACAATATTCATCGATTACTGCTAAACACGCCTAACTGGTGCCCAACTTACTAAAGTAGTGCCCAAGTTATCTATAATCAATTATTATTATTGCTACAGTTAGTTAATATTAATTTATTACTGCTAAAGACACTCAACCGGTGCCCAACTTACTAAAGTAGTGCCCAACTTACTAAAGTAGTGCCCAAGTTATCTATAATCAATTATTATTAATTTATTTTAGTTAATTAGTTTAGTTTCTTTCCTATGGAACCTGTTAGGTCATAAAAAAATTCATCATGTTTTTTATCATGAAACCCTTACAAAACTTTATGAATGGTTTAATTATGCTGTACACACAACTTTTTAACACAAATGTTGGATCTTCTTTTAGTATTATGACAAATTCTACTAATTTATAATTGAAGTAATTTTAAATAACCAAAAAATGTTCACCAATGTCAACATGGATTAAGATTATTAATAAAAATACTATTTTTTGGGTGAAATGACAAGAGTGAAACTTATGACTATGTGAATTTGAAGTTTGTGATAGTGATAATGTAAATTTTACTTTGTCTAACTACTGCACATCATTACCAGATGTTAATTACATAATATTATATATATTCACTACTACTATTATTAATATCACAAAATTGGCTCATACCTGAGTGCCATAACTGCAACATACATGTGGTTCCTCAATGTCTGCTCATGGGGATAGAAACCTGCATGTGTTGTCGCTGGCCGGGTTTGAGGGTCAGGGAATAGAACCGTCTCTACATATATCTTCAGGTGTCGCTTCATTTCCTGCACATTTTGCACACCATGTCCCACCAACTCATGAATTTTCTCTTTAACATCTTTATTTATTGGGTTGAGAAACCCAGTAAGCTACAGTACAAAATTAAAAAAACATAGTTTAACAGCTAGGAATAAATAATAATATTCACAACAATTCAAAAAAATTAATAATTACGGATATTTTATAAAAATTAATGACCCGACTTGATTGGAATAATTACCTCATTTGTCTAAATTGTCATGTAGTAGGTGAAAGCTTTACTCATATAATACAGGATTATCAAATGCTACCAAAAATGAGAAATAAAGTTACCGTGCCAGTCTGGTGGATGTTGTTATGAGCTTCATCTGATGGGAAAGATATATAAAAACGTCTTTCAGCCTCAAGATGTTCTCCGTTTTGAATAGCCTTCCTCAGATCCTTGCTCCTTTCGACACACGCAAACTTGCTATGTGTGTCTACCTACAACAAAAATGTGAACATATTAATGGACAGAATACCAAACTATCAATTACAATTCTAATGTATGGTAAAAAACAGTCATGCTCACAACCTTACTCGTACCTGACCAAATCCGTGCTTGATAATAAATAAGTACTACTAGATTTCACCGGGGCTGTGTTCTGGCCAAAGTAGTTTTAGATATAGAAAAAAAATTAACATCCACAGATCAAAAATACAGGGTACTGTACTGCAATTACATGAACAATAATTAAATTAATAAAAATATTTTGGAAAAGATGTTTTGTATATGCAATTCAAGTGTGAATAAACCTAGCCATATATTGGTTTTAAAGATGTTTTGTATATGCAATTCAAGTGTGAACAAAAATACCTAGCCATATAATTGGTTTTCACAAACATTTTTTTCTATACACGGACACCAAGCTTTCATTTTTATTACACATCAATTCGTCACTTAATTCACCTATACAAGAATTGTTACACCATACTTGAGAATAAACAAAAGATTCAAAATTTGTGAAAATTAAGTAAAAATTTGGATTTAAAAAAGCATAGCTAACCTTAAATTGTGGGAACCTAACGACTTCCTTCACTGTAAGGGTAGCTGGGCATCCTTTTTTCTTCGAGCTCTGTATTCTTTTCCTCCACCTCTTTCCTGTTGGATGGTCTCCCTGGTGTCATTTTGATAGAATTGAAGACAATGTAAATAATTGGCTTTAGTCATTTTATGCAAAGCTATATCAATTTAATTATGTATTTGTATATGATTCAAAATAAGTTGAATAATTACATGTTAATAAAATAATGTTTAAATCCGTCATTTTTGTAGTGAAGTGAAGTATCTTTATTTTTTTGTTTTGTGTCATCAGTTTGATGAGACTTATCTATTGCTTATCTGTTGATGTACTGCAATCATGCAAACAACGAACAAAAAATGAAATGTGAGATTAGTGGATATGATAATTACCTTGAGTTCATTTTCTTTCTTTTCATCTTCCCTTTCTGTTGTTCCTTTATGTTTGTTTCGACCATACATACACCCTAAAGTGTAAGTCGATGTCACCATAAAGGGGACACCTGACGGAAATGGTGCCCATATAACGCTTGCCTTGCTAACCGTTAGCGTATCAGGATACCGCTAACGGTTAGCGCTAACCGATCGGGCGTTCTCACGCAGGTGCTAACGGTTAGCGCTAACGGTTAGCTCCCGATCCGGATACTAGGGCTCTCGTGAGAACCCGGCTTGCATCAGCGGTAGTCAACAAAAGAGTTACAGCCATGGTTACAGCATGTACGCAAAGATCGTACGCAGCGGATACCCTACGCGGTTTTATTCACACGATCTTTTCCTACTTTTTTCGCCAGTGACGTCACGATTAAATCGTATATAATGGCCTATAACTCCATAAGAAATTGCCAAAAAGCGATTTTAAGGTTGTTTATGTTATTGCATATTAAAATTCCCCTCTAGAACAAAAAATCATTTTGTGTCTGCACATAACCTTTGATGTCCCAAGATGTGCGTCCTTCTGTTGAATTGCCTTGGTATTATATTGACATTGAATGTCCGCCTAAATGCTTCAAGTGATAGGAATTCCTTGTTGTCATTCATAACATCTTTGGCAAATTTAACCCCGGCCCAATGGTGATAGTATACTTTTTCACCACCGATTTTAATTATTTGGTTTGTCCACAGGGCACTTCATAAAACCTCTCAGTAGTTAGTAGGTAAATGACTTTGTGTTGATTTTTTTTACTCGCATTCGAAACGTCTAATCAAAAGGGGTTATTTTTCTATGTTTTGGGTAAAAATATTTATTAATAATATCCCACATTCAAGATAGAGACATCATCAATTTTCGTTGTTTTGTGAAACAGATTTAAATGTCATTACAATTTGTCCGAATCAGTCTTCTAACCCAAGTTATTTTTATTGTAAGGTATTAAGGTGTGATCAACGTCAATCAACGAAGACCCCAATTTCTAGTATCCTCCATCATTTGTTTTCGAGCCATGTTATCCTTACCATTCCCATTAAAGGAAAAAAAAGTTTGTATTAAGCATGTTAATTTGCATATCTCCTGGATTTGTTAACAGTTGTCGAGCCAGGATTTGCACGACGGGGAACTGAGTTCCCCAACGGAAGGTTGGGGGGGGGGGGTCTGGCGATATCCCCGTCGAAAAAAGTGGACGTAGTTGGGTCGTCGCTCAAATCTCTCGAAAGTGTTCCAGGGGGCGAGGCGCCCGAAAAATATCACAATTTAGGGGTTTCAAAAGCTTATTTAATCGCTTTTGGGGTCTACTCATATGTAAAAAAAACATAGACCCTATACATTTTTTCTCCCCGACAAATTGTGTTTTTTCTCCTTGTGGGGATGGGGAAGTCCACGGTACCCCGAGGGTGCCACCCCTGTGTCGAAGTGAGGTTCGCCTACGAGGTGTTCAAAAAATTTCAACTGTTGCAGGCTAGATCTAATTTAAGACAAACCAGTTAATATTATTAGCTCCCTATATGATACTAAATTCGTCAATACGAATTTGAATTGTTTGAAAATTCATTTTTAAACGCAGTGAAGATGAGCCACAGAACAGGATTATCCTTGATGGACAGCTGATATATAAAGCAGATGACAATGAGGAAGATACAGACGTTTGCTTTTACACTCAGTAAGTTTTCAGTTTCAATTTTAACTCTGATTTATTTTGCACATTATATAAATGTAAATTTAGCTAATATGTAAATATGAAAATGAGATTTAAGGAGTTACATTAGAAGCAATACCGTATTGCTTAAAACATTTTGAATAAGAAATAAACGATCATAGTCGTAAACCTATCTCATTGCATTCACTAATATGTTTCGAGTCCAAACAAGAATACTTCTTATTGGTCAAATGTTTTTCATGTTATTTAAAAAAAAAAATCTAATCGTATGTAGGCCTACACTATCCAACTTTGACTTCAGAACCCTGGAATTAGAAGGCAAGCACCTTAACTGTCAAGATTCAGCTGTTCTTCGCTCAAAATCCAACGTGTTGAGCATTTACATTTTTTTCCATTTAGGGTTACGATAAATTTGACGATACGTAATATTACTTCAACGAGCCTTAATTGGAAATCATGGAAGGACAACTGCCAGGAGCAGGCCCGTAACCAGGGGGAGGATCGGGGAAGGGGGTCGGACGATCCCCCCCACCTCACAGAATAGGGAGTTCCGAAAGGTGTAATACACCAACACAAAACACACCTTTATAAGTGCAATTTATGCACTTCTGTACTGTAAACTCATTTTTTAGGCCATTTAAATTATAATCACAAAAAATCTATGTACGTCATTATTAAATCTATTATCCGTTTTTTCTTCAACATCTATGTCATCATTGAGTCTATGTAATAATAACCATGTTTTATAAATAATAAAGGCTGCTATTGTGCATAAATGGTTTATAATTTGGTTATGCTCATTGTAATTTGAAACCCCGGGTATTATTGTACTTTTAGTCGTTGTATGACGCAACGGGAAGAATACAACAATAATATAATTTTTCCAGTGAAAAATGCTTATTGTAAGTTATAAAAGCACTTGGCTATTGATGAAATCAAACAAGATAAAATATTGCAAAGTACAGTTGAGTAGTAATCCGATTGACGGTGTGAAAATTGTATAGCAATTGGAATACTGTGCTATATTGGGGTAGCACTCCTTAATATATATAAAATAAATCTTATTATTAATATATTTAGGAAGATTCAAAAGATGAAATATTTGACAAATAAGGATGATTATATGATGTCATTGTTTTAGTTAATTCTAGCGGGATAAGTTAGCCGTGGTACTTTCCTGACTTATTTGTCATCTAATTTCCTGGTACCATGAGGAAACTGGTTGCTGTCCTTAGTTGACCTTTAAGCTGAATATAGTAATAATACTGATTACGAGCCTGAGGAATGAAGATTAACATAAGCCTAGCTGTGTTTCAAAACGATCTATGTAGCAGCATAAAACAAATAATTTCCCACAACAGCTTTAAATTAATCTTTCTGTTATGTGTATAGGCCAATTGCTAGGTATCAGTAACGTGTATAAACTCGACAATTAGGTCAATAGGTACAGTGCCGTAGTCGTTTAGTTTGAGTCAGTAACTTATGTGTTTATACGTTATGACAAATGCTCATTTAAATAGCCTCATGATGGTTGGAATACATCGTGATAGGTGAAGCAACCTCGACCATGACAACGTGGTTGACAGATTTCATGCAAAATTTCCAAAATATAGAATTTCACTTTCAAGAATGAGGATTT